CTTGTCGAAACGTTGTACATTTGCTGTCATGTTAAACTTATATTAAAGTTTTTCTTCATTACCCATTTAAGCCGTCTCCAGCCATTATTAGTCTCAAAGTGGGTTCCTCGTCATCGAACATAAAGGTATTGTTGAATTTATAAGAAACAAGATTTTGTTAATACGTGATCAACTCTTTAGTGAATTCTAAAACACAAAGCACATTTCTAAAGAAAATGGTTATTCAGAGTTTTGGTTATTGATCTATTTCATAGTAATGTCATTAACCTTTTATTTTTTTCCTGTAACACCTGCATACAATCGAATGTTTTAGTGCTTCACTGTTATTGTATTTGTCATTGGTGTTTGTGATATTTAGAGTTTATGTAAAAATCATTTGTTGTATAAGACAAATAATTAAAGCAAGTGTGTATGTTTTTTGTCTAACAATTAAACAATATTTGTACTATTTATTAATGTAAAGGGCGTGGTTTGATAGAAGCAAGGCCTAGGGCGACTAGCTTAGTTTCTCAACCTCTTGCTTTTCTCTCGTCTTGGCCCTTTTGAACAAGGAAGTAAAAGTTGAACGGATGCAGCAAAAAGGCAAACCTTAATTAAAAGTAATTAATATTTATAAACTTTTGGATCACATTTGCTTTCTGACTGCATATCTATTGACAGTATTAGCATTTGTTGGGGTTTACACGAAATAATTCTGCTCATCGTGGAATTAAGAAATCATTTGGTTTTTGTTGTCGAAAGAAAGAAGCATCAGGAGGTGTTCCTGAACCCAAAGGCTAATAACAGCTTGTTGTGATATTTAATTTTGTGTAATTATGTCTTAATTTATCGATCTATGTAATCTGAGTCAGATAAATTAAATCATCTGATAATCTAGTCAAACGATGTTTAATTTTAGTATCTGTTCTATATTTTCAGATTTTACTTAATGTCCCACGGTGCTCAGCGGTAACTTTTAGAATATATAACGCTAAAATTCGAATTTGATCCCTGCCATGGGAACAGAACAGATAACTAATTGTGCAGCTTTGCGCTTTACAAGAACACAAGAGAAACAATGCTTGAAAATTTTAAAATTACCTTGCTTTACAATGGTTTGTTTATAACATTAAATGCATAAAGCACACTTCAGCTGTAAAAAATGTTTAATGCTTTTGATCTGCTTTCATTACATAAATTTTACATTTAACAAAACATAATTCTAGATCTAATGGGATGTTCCTTTGTGTTCAAACGTGGATAACTTCCTTGTATAGCATTATTGTATATATATAGTTATTCTAAGAAAAACATCAACAGCAACAACAAATGGACGCACAATTTACTATCAAAAACACTATCAGCTCCACACTTCATAGTTTTTTGGGGGCATCTGTTTGTATTTAATTTCTAATATATTTTTTTTATTTATCATCTAGACTTTTGTTTATGTATCCCTACTAGACCTCTGTTTATTTATTTGACTTCGGCTTACACTTACTTTCTGGACCTTTGTTTCTCTACCTGACCTTGGTCTTTGTTTCTCTTCTGGAATGTTGGTTAGTGCGCTTGACTCATAATCTGAGGGTCGCGGGTTCGAATTCCCGTCACCGAACGTGCTCATCTTTAAACCGTGGGAGCGTTATAATGTGACGGTCAATCCCACTATTCGTTGGTAAAAGAGTAGCCTAAGAGATGGTGGTGTTGACTAGCTGCTTTGCTTCTAGTCCATCACTGCTAAATTAAGGACAAATATCGCAGATAGCCCTAGTGTAGCTTCGTGCGCAGCTCAAAACAAACCACTCTTCTGGAACGTGTCTTTCTTTTGTGGAAATACATATAATGTCAGCTTGTGAGTCTAAAAAAAGATACTAAATGGTAATAGAAAGCTTTGATTTAGGATCTTTAAAGGAGGAATATTCGAGGAATAACAGGCTCGCATATCCAATAACTCCAACAAGAAGGAATAAGATTTAAGAAAGTTACACTCGTTTTGCTTCAAAGATCATGTGGAGTAAAATATACTTTAAAAGGTTACAATTTTGATAAACGTTTCATAATCATTGAGTTATGTATTAAAAAATACGACTACATAAAAACATTATGACAAACTACATGTAAATCAAGAGTCAGTTTTGTATTAGTCACGGATTTTGGAACCTAGGCAAGGTATAAAAGAATTCAAGCATACTCTGCTTCTTTTGAGATAAACCTAAATCTAAAACAAACAAAAAATATATGTGCTTTTATTGGTTACACTACAAAGAATCCTCACTGAGCTAGAACTTTTAAGGGATGTAGTAACGATGAGGCTGAACATTTAAAAGAGGTAGTTGTAATAATGAAGATGAATATTTAGAGACTGTAGTAATAATGAGGCGGAACATTTAAAGAATTTCGTAACAGTGAGGCGGAACGTTTAATAAAGCCAACAGTGAGGCAGAACATTTAAGAATGTTTGATTCAACGGGATATCAGTACCATTTAAGGGTGTTTGAATCAATGAAATCATCACGAGGCAGAATGTATAAAACAGTTGGATTCAACAGGAAATCATGACAAGGCAGGATATTTAAAGTGTTTAATTCAACAGGAAGGTATTAGCGAAGCAGGACTTTAAAGAGTGTTTGATTCACCAAGAAATCACTAGCAAGGTAGAACGTTTCAAAGTTGTTTGATTCACCAAGAACTTACCAGCGAAGTACGACACTTGAAAGGTGTTTGATTAAGAGGAACTCAATAAGGAGATGCATCATTTCAAAATATTTTTTATTCCACAATAACTTTATCCTCACTATCGAACTCATTAAATTGATATTAAATAAATTAGATAGAAACGTTTATATATTTAAGTCAAGTGAATCTTTTATTTCTGAAATAGATATACTCTTAGAATTGATGTTTCCTTTTTAGTACAACGCACAACTCCGATAGTTTTCGAAGAATGAATGGGGGGGGGGCACGTTCATTGAGTCGTTGCCCTCACTGCTCGAGGACCAGTCGTAAACTCCTGGGAATAGCTGAAACAGAGCACGGCGTCCTTGTACCATTCAATTTCACTTTCCCCCATTTCCACTAGATTGCCTCTTTTATTATTTGTTTTTAGTGGGTCAAAAACAGTTTTCGCTACTTAATCAACAAAAGTCACGTATTTTATTGTCAAATCGGTGACTTAAATGTCAAGATCGACATCACAATCATAATAATGAAAATCAAAAGATATATTAAAGTTAAGAAAAGGAAAGAAAGAAATATTTTGGAAATCGGGACAATTTACATTAGTTTTAGGTCTATATTTTTCATTTAACAATTTTATAAAATTAAACAAGTAACAGAATCGGCGATAGTTTTCCCACAAAAAAATGCATTTCCATAAAATAGTTTGATGAGATAGAGTTGTTGTTTATAGTTAAGCACAAAGCTACACAAAGGGCTATCTGTGCTCTGCCCACCACGGGTATCGAAACCCGGTTTCTAGCGTTGTAAATCCGCAGACATACCGCTGTGCCACTGGGGGGCTAATGAGATAGAGATTTACGGCGATTGGTATACATATTATTAAAAGTATTATAAAGTTTTTCGATAAAGTACATGTGTGAAATATGTCTGTTTATATAAATACTGATTGCTTATGCGATCAATCATTTGCAAGTAAAAACATATAACGATTACAATAAACATATGTATATTACATAGATAGAGAGAGAGAAAACACATAACAGCATATTTCGTGTATAGAGAGGACGAAGAAATTACAGCTCACGTTTGTAACTCTAGGTGAATAACAACATACACTGTATATCTGGATGTGAAAACATATAGCGATTACAATAAACACATGTATATTACATAGAGAGAGAAAAACACATAACAGAAAATTTCATGTATAGAGAGGACGAAGAAATGATAACTCATATTTATGACTCTTGGTGAATGTTTGTATGTGAAAGAATATAATGATTACAATAAACATATATATATTACATATAGAGAAAAAAATATATCGCACCATATTTCATGTATAGAGAGAGAGGAGGAAGAAATAACAGCTCACGTTTGTAACTCTAGGTGAATAACAACAAATGTTTGTAACTACATAAATAACAACAACACTTTTGTAACTCTTAGTGAGTAATGTCACGTTTGTAATTGTAGGTAAATAACAACACAAATTTGTAACTCCAGGAGAATAATCACTCTAGGTGAAAATCAACGCATATTTGTAACTGTTAGTGAATTAAAAGACATGTTTAGAGCTTAAGATAAATAGTAAGATAGGTTCAGAGCTTTAGGTGAACAATAACATATATTTAGAACTCTAAGTGAATGTAAGATTTAAAGCATTTCTTCTGAGAAGGATTTTTGTTAATGTCCGCTATTATAAAATATTTTCAATGTGTCCTTTATTAAGAAGAGGACAAGGCTAGGATTAATTATCTCTTTTATACTGGAAACGAATCTCTATTAATCTGTGGTTCTCAATTATGAAATTAATGTAAACGACTTTTCATAACAGTTTGTTTGTAACACACAAAGCTACACAATGGGCTATTTGTGCTCTGCCCACCACGGGTATCGAAACCAGGATTCTAGCGTTGTAAGTCCGCAGACATATCACTGTGCTACTAGGGGCTTTCATGACAGACTCTCAGCAATTGACTCTTGAAGAATAAGTACATTAGCCAGAAAAAAATCGACCCTACATAAATATTTACTTTGATTGTATGCTTTGTTAAACTGACTTTTGTTATTTGTCCCCATTTCTAACTTGACTGCTTTCACCTCTAGACCTAGTAATATTCTAAATGAACCGGAACTGTTGAATTCAATACGTTAATAATGCCTGTGATCTAAACTTCATATAATTTGGCATAGAACTTAAACTAGGTCATAAATTGAATGTGTTGCCTCAAACAGTCACAAAATGTTAAAGATCTTGTGAAACTATATTATTTTTTTAGAAAGCAAAACCAAGAACAACAATATGTATGTGTATACACACAAACATTTTACACTTGCAGTTATTTGGAGACTCTATCCTAGCAGTGGTTATTCTAGGAAAAATTGGATCAGTTGGTGCAGTGGCCGTGCCCTTGGGATGGGGATTAGGCTTAATGATCGGAATCGCCGTGTCTGGAGGAGTATCTGGTAGGTGAGAAATTCATGAATTACAATATCTTAAAAATATTTTAGGCTTCTATTTAATTACAGTATATATATTATCCATTTTTTTAAACTGAACTATGTAAATTATTTTAGTAAGAACAAGTTCACAATGGTTTAATCACAACTTTGTTTGAAGGGTTTGTATAAATTAATACAGTGGTATCGCCGCAGACTTTAGCCACGACGTCACAAGCGACATGTTTAGTATTTACATATTTGATTTTCAGTCATTCAAAGTGCATTGCCCCTACAGTTAGGCTTATGGCTGTATATATATGTATATAATATAAAATGTAGAACAGCATTTTTCTAAAACTGTTTATCAACCAGTTTCGTAACTTCAGTGGTTACTTTTGACTAAGTGTTTGATGTTTTACGATAAAATTTCCGAGGTCAAAAACATAGTTATTTAAAATCTTTTAAAATGCAATTAAAATTACTGAACTATTTATTTTTCTGATCTTGTAAGTTTTGCTGTAGAAGAAAAAAGCTTTCAGAAGAGGAGTAGCCAACTGAAACTACAAAGTCAGCTAATAAACAACGTTGTAGAAACAGATTCCACTTTTACATTTTAGCATGTTGTTCTTTTTGAAGTGAATCATTAATGTTATTTTATATACATAAGACCTTTTGGAAGAGGAAAAACTGCAGTAGAGCATTTAAAGCGACATTCATTTTCGAAACCACATCAGAACCATATCCGAAGCAAAGTCTCATCTATGAAATGAAGGCTACAGTTACGAAAGATAAACACCCAACCACCTTTATCCCCCACCCAAAATAAACAACAACAACAACAAAAATCAACAACATTGCACTGAAACTGGGCTTATCACATGGTGACGCTAACAATACAATGAATATGAATTTGTGGTTGATAGTGGCTCAGAGGATTCCAACCACATCTCGAATCCAACAACTGTTTTTAATTTAAAAGATAATATAAGAAAGTGGAATCGTATTTAATCATATTATATTTGTGAAGTCGCCCTATTCAGCTACAACGGACTTTTGTTCCTTTGATCTGCTTAAATGTTGTCTTGTACTCCGATGTTCACACCTAGAGAATAATCTGTGGCAAGATTATCAAGAAGTGTGACTACCCCTAGGAAGGGTCTATGGCAAGTTTGTTAATTAAGAAGTGTGATCACACCTATGGAAGAGTTCATGGCAAGTTTGTCAAGACATGTAAACACGCCTAGGGAAGGGTCTGTGGCAAGTTTGTCAAGATTTGAGATCTAAGATTGGTCTTGCTAGAATAGTAATATAAGGCCAGATAATAGTACGTAATTATGGCCATTAGACTGATTAAATCGATGATAGAGAAAATAGTTCCAAGGGTAGCAGGAAGGATGGGCAACGAGCTTACGCTAGTATACGCTATCTATATAACTATATTTATTTGTTTAAGCTAATAGACTAACGTACAAGTATTTTTCATAACTTGAAACATTTTACCATATATTTGCATTATTTTTCATAGAATGGTATAGTAAAAACGGACAAAAAACATGCTAAGAATCATGCTTGATACAATAAGTTTTTTACAGAAGTTTATCTAAACCTTCAGTTTTGATTTTTTTAGTTTGTTTTTGGTGGACAATGGATTAAATGTTACAGCTGAAAATGATATGAAAGTTAACTAAAATTAATAAATTGTAAGTAATGTGCAGTGCAATTAATATTTTCTAAAGACTTTTATGAAAGGGTCAAAACAAAAATTTAAATAAATATATTTGTACATTAGTGTTCAGCTTGCCAGGATGCAGATTGAAATAGCTAAAGTTCCAGCTGCATTATGCAGCTGAATACGTTCAGCTGTGGGTATTATAACGATAACAGTCTATCCCGCTATATGGTTAAGAGGAAAAATTTAAGTGGTTGTTACTGTTGGCTGGCCGCCCTTCTACTGGTTAAAAGTTCTATAACTACATCTGAACCTTGGGCTTCTCTAAAACTTCCGATTAGTCCATGTATCACATTAAGGTTGCAAACAACATATACCAAAGCATATTATAAATACTGAAACAAGAAATGTTGAGGAAATGTAGCACAATAGTCAATCGGCGAGTTTTTTAAATGATGGAGAACCAAACGACACAACATTTCGAATATAGTGATATTAGTGATATATAGCTGTAATCGTATTTATTTCGAAGGGAATCCCTGTTTGATATTTATAATCTTATGTTTAAGAAGAGCAGTATAAGATGACGACAAAAGGAACTTAGAAGATGTTCAATGTATAGATACTAAAGTGTATTGAAATTACTCCAGTCTTTGTTTTACAAATTTTTCACACCTAGATAAGTTACATTTGAAGCAAATCACACTTTTGTTACATAAAACATATTAAAAGATAATCGTTTTCCCTCTTTCAATGTCTGCACTAATGATTTCCCTCTTTCAGTACTTTAACTAATAATTGTTCGTCTTTCAACAGTTCAACTAATTGCTTCCATCTATCAGTGCTTGAACTAATGATTTTTGTTTTGAGGTGGTCATCTGAATCCAGCCGTTACCATAGCCTTTGCAACCGTAGGAAAGTTCAAGTGGAGAAAGATCCCAGCTTTCCTAGCCTCACAATACCTTGGAGGATTTGTTGCAGCAGCTATTGTGTTTTTTGTCTATGAAGGTAAGCTATAACTGTTGGTAATATAACAAGATTTCGTCCAGTGAGAGGATTTGCTGAGAGTTGTTTAAAAGTAAGGTTATTTAGCTCCTGTTAAAACAGTTAGTTAGACAAACAATATCAGAAGCTGTATACTACGTGTTAGATATCATCATCTAGACTTAAAGGTATTGATATAGTTAACCCCTAGTATATTTCCTGCAGATAAACTGAATATCCGCTTTTTCCCAGTACTTGATAAGAACATATCGATAAAGCACTTATAGAACTCAATAAAATTATCGTCAAACCCTCTGTATTATAATTCAATATGGAACGAAATATGTCTGAATAGAATGGGAAAACACATTAACATGATTTTGAATTTACGTATTTATCCAACAAATATATTTATTTAATAAACATCAGTGGATGTGCGTCATTTACTAATTTATATATTACGTAGAGTGCAATAGGCTATGAACATTTAGAAGTCACCTTTCGGGGTTTGGATACAGATGTTCTTGTTATATAGGGCGAATGCAACAGCTGTGAACATCAGTCGGTTTACATCTGTGTGTTCACGCGCTGTGTACGAGAAACTTCTCGAATGTACAAGTTTTAGACACATGTAGAAACTAACAGTTAGGAAAGGAAATAAATCCATGCTTTAGAAAACAGTCAGCTAATGCATTGTGTGTTTATGTGTGTATGTATTTAATCAACAAAAATAATCCATTAACATCGTTTTGATCTTTATTTCCACTGTTTCTATCTCGTGTTTCATTTACTAAGTTTTCATCATAATATTTTGAAAGAGCTGAATAATAAAATAGGGAAAACCTAAATTCTGAGCGTTCATACGTAGATTTGGAGCTTCAAGTAACTAACATTCTAAATTTAATTTGCCATTTTCACTAGCACCATATTTTAATTGTTTGATTATTCTCAAAAAAGATAGTTAAATTCTGACAATAATCAATAGCTTACTTTCTAATCATATTTACAATTATATACAAAGATTAAATACAGGTGTTTTGTTTTGCAAATCGTCTAAAGCAGACATAAAAGGAAAAAAAAGTCTCCCTTTCATGTATACGTCTTAGTAAAATTCATTAAAGTACAACAGTATAACCATACTGTAACTTTGTAGAAAGGACATACATTTTGGTATACTGCTATACACCAGGAAAATTCTGTAAACTCAAAAATGGTTTGGAAAGAAAAAAGAAATACTTTCAAGGTGTGCTCACTTTAGCATGTAGTTTATCATCAGAAAACCCTTTTTAACTATACGTACCATATCAGCTGAGCCATCAAGTTAAACAAAAGCCTTGGAACTTCCTACTTAGCGAATTCTCATAAGTTACTTGTTTGTTTGTGCGTGTTTAGCATTTTTGTGCAAAGCTACACAAGGGCTATTTGTGTATAGCCGTCCACAACTTTAAGCTGATAGACTCGAGGAAAAGTAATTAGTTAAGAGCACTTGTTGCCAGCTCTTGGGCTATTTTTGTTTAATCATCATAATCTACACGAACTGGAATTGCTTGGAACTTCAAGATTGCTTCCCACCACATCTACTATGCTAAACACACGCAACTTGCAACGACTTCGCGATACAGCTGCAAGTGTAGGTGTCGCTTTTCGAACTATATTTTTAAAGTATAGGTTACAATATCCATTATTTGAGAATCTCTTCTCGCTAACTACGGTTTTCTGAATTTCACAAGATATTTATTCATACTCGTTGTTTTTGAAACATATTTCATACAATTAGTAAGAAAAAATCATTATTACTATTCCTTATGAGAGTCAAAATTTAAGAAACTTGCTTCAAAGATGAAATAATCAAGCAGTAACAATTTAATTGAACAATACAACTCTAAATAATATAGATGATAAATTTTAAGGTAATAGAGAGGGAAAAATTAAAATTTTGCGTTTATTGAGACAATATAGTCGTTTAAATAATACTTATAAAACACGATGATAATTTAGTACTAGTTCACGTACTCATTAAACACGCGAGTAAGACATAAGGGTCGCTGGGGATGAAATGGGGGGGGGGTCAAATCAAACACAAACCCCTTTCATGTTACTTCTCAGGAGGGGACTAAGGATACATGCCAGCTCTGGTGACAATCGATCTAGCGGTTTGCTAATTATAAGCGGATACACACTCTTAAATAATGTTTTAGATAAAATACATCCTTTCTTAATAGGTGCTTTTGAAAATTTTGATGGTGGATTCCGCAGTGTGATAGGAGAGAATGCAACTGCTCATATTTTTGCCACGTACCCTCAGGAGTTTGTCCATACTGGTAATGGATTGATAGATCAGGTAAGCGAGTGGTTTGGATTTTATTCAGTTTTTCACGAAGTTTTACCAGAAATGAGAAAATATACATATTTATTACTAATTATGATTAAATAAACGGGCAGTCGCTGCACAGACCAGATATAGACATATTAATAAAGCATTATATATTACAACACAACGTTCTAGTCTCTATTTTGTTAATCTACAGTTTACGGAAATTTATATTGATGATGACTTAGAAGTAAGTTTGATGTAACGTAAGATGCGTGGTCTTAATGTGTGGAATTTTCTATTTAGTTTGTCATTCAGTTAAGGAGTAATCAATAAATGATTAACTAAATTTATCTGTCACTGTCTGCCAATAAATCAGTCAGTTAATTTCTTCAATGCTGTGTATACCTAGTTTGTATTTTGGCAAAGAAATATATGAAACTAGCTAGTATTGTTTGTTTGTTTGAAGTTAAGCACAAAGCTACACGATGGGCTATCTGTGGTCTGCCCACCACGGGTATCGAAACCATGTTTATAGCTTTGTAAGTCTGTAGACATATCTCTGTGCCACTGGGGGCAACTAGCAAGTAAGTAGAGCTTCTGTTCAGACGTAGTTTATTTGTGAAATTAGATCTACAGAAGAACGTTGTTTGTCCTAACTATGGAAATAAAACGATTTGCTATCGTTAAGTGAACTGGACATTGCATTATTATTTTTTACAAAATAACCAAGCAATAGAAACTATCACTACGCTGATGTGTGATTATTTTGGTAAACAAAAACAAAATCCAAATTCAACTTCATGATGACGACACACGCTCAAAACGAGATTGAAAAATTTTATGGAAATGATTAAACAGTTAAAAGAAGGTCATGAAAAAAAAACACATCAAAACGAAAGAGAAAAAAGTTAAGAAAGGTATTACAAGAATGCAATATGATATTTACAAAATAATTACAAAAGTATGACATAATATTTGTCCCTAATAGACCAGCAGTACGTTTACGGAATTACAATGCTAAAATCCTGAGTTTGAGTTTCCATGGTGGACATAGCGCAGATAGCCTTTTGTGTAGCTCTACATTAAAACGCACAGAACAAAGAAACAAACTAGGCATAATATTTTCAGAGAAATTAGAATCAAAAATATTTTATGGAGAACAAGATAGAAAATAAATAGGTTAAAGTAAAAACGACATATGTGCAAAATTATTTTAACAACAAAATTGAAGAAGTCATGGAAAATATACAAACTGATAATAAAATAGAATGAGAAAAGTATTAGAAATGTACAGAAGGATTGTAAAAACAAGGTAGAAAATTACAAAAGAACATCAATGTGAGGGTCAAATTAATCACACTTCTCTCTCAAATTCAACCTGAAACAGCGTTAATTATAGAATATGGAAAAAGATTAATCTACTGGTGACAGTAAATTAGGAGAGAAAGATATGGCATATTAAAGATAAATCCCAGAGCCCAATCACATAAAAGAGGCAGCAAAGAGCCGATCAAACGTCAGAAAACACGCTAGCATCAAACCAGATCAAGACACAGCAAAGAGTTAACCAACCATCAATAGAAAATATTATCTAGAATTTAGAGACAAAATTCAGCTAAAAATTCTTTCCCTTCCCCAACTGAGATAAGGAGATCAATAATTAAAGAAATCAGTCCATGATATAACAAGTTCATTGATGGAGAGCCTTGCAACATGCTGATCAACAACGGTTCTACAGCTGTCATTGTTCGATCTCATTTGTTAATGAAAGCAAGGAAATTGCATTTGGAGATGAAACATATAGATAGATTAATGCAAGCAGCAAAAGGTAAATAAAATCCCAGCAAGTGAAAAGTTAGAGCTCACCGACGGAAGCTTCTGTACACAGCATAATGAAGGAAATTTGAGGAAGAGGAAGAAAACGTATTTGGAATAGACTTCATGAAAGACACATGAATGTGAGGATAGATTCACTTCAAATAGTTTCTATGCCCAAAAATCTTTTTGCGGCACACAACAATTACAACACTAGAGGTTGAACTTCCAGTATCAACAATGGGGATAGTTATTGTTCCACACAAAAAAGAAAAATACCTATACTAGGACTAACGTCTGTGGCATGGTAAAGCTGAACATTTCAGATTGTCCTGGAAATTATTGACTGGAAGAACTCTCTTCAGTCTAAAGAATGAAGATGTCATCATTATAGCCATGAACACAACAAAGCATGAGACATGAGCCATATCTGGATGGAACTTGACAAATTGTGAATCATATCATATTACTTTCACATCAAAGAATGCCAGAAGTAGCCACTTTAGAAACAAGAGGTAGAAAGCCCGACATCAAATTTATTGCCATACAAATGGAGCTCACTGCCTAGCTTGTAGGAGCTGTATGATTAAAAATGTGAAGGTTTTACAACTGATTTATACCACAAGTTCTATGACTTCACATAAAATACCAAGATACCTTTCCGAATGTACCTCATGGCTTAGGCTATAGAAATAATATGCATCATAAGATTGTTGGTTGTTAGGGCGCTCGACTCGCAATCTCCGGGTCATGGGTTCGAATCCCCATCACCGATCGTGCTTGCCCTTTCAGCTGTGGTGGTGTTATAATGTGACAGTCAGTCTAACTATTCATTAGTAAAAGAATAGCCCAAGAATTGACGATGGATATGTTGACTAGTTAGAAATTACTAGCGTAGATAGCCCTCGAGTAGCTATGCACTAAACTCAAAATAATACAAACCAAGCCATAAAGTTGATAATTTTCATGCAACCATGATCTATAAGTTGGCCAGACTATTTTAATTTCAAAAGAGAGATAATTTACATGCACCCACAATATACAAGTTGGCCAGAATACTTTTATTCCAAAAGAGACCAAGGATTTCAAAGAAATAAAAGCTGTAGAAGATAAAGTCGCAATAGAACCAAGTACTAGTCCTTGCGCATCACCTATTGTACTTTCACTCAGATCAGAGACAGAATTTTGAATCAGCCTTATTCACAAGATATGTCAAATTATTGGAATCCATAAGACCACAACTAAAGGGCTACCTGCGCTAGCCGTCCCTAATTTAGCAGTGAAACACTAGAGGGAAGGCAGTTAGTCATCACCACCCATCTCCAACTCTTGAGCTATTTTTTACCAACGAGTAGTGGGATTAACCGTCATATTATAACGCGCCCACGGCTGAAAGAGCGAGCATGTTTGATGGGACAAGGATTCGAACCTGCGATCCGCAGATTGCGAGTTGAGCGCCCTTATCATCTGGCCATGCCAGGCCACGGTGAATAAGTACAATAATATACTTTTAAATCAATTAGTTTATGCGGATGAACATCAGAGAGTGTTGGATCTCAAAATATTTAATATCTGTTCATGAGTTATTGAACAGAATTTCATGAAGCTACAGGCAACACACACCATCATCGCCAGTATTTGAAAAGTAATTGAATGTGCTACTGGACCTTCTGTGTTCACATCGTGAAAATCATCGCTAAGAAGATTCTAACACAGAGTATGCAGTGAAATTTACGATTGTATACATGACTTTACCCGAGAAAGACTTCAATCAACTAATTGCTTCAATTTAAGTGCTAATAAGACCAGATTTCATCCTAGTGACGTTATTTCTCTACAATTCACTCTGCAAGAGAGGACTATTTCCAAGGTGTTGAAGATAATGATGCTTTTCTCAAAAGAATCAATAAAAAAAAATCATCTAAGGCAAAGGTAATCAACCATGATCATCCTTGGAAGTACATGTCAAATGGTTAACTTAAGTGAAGACTTCGCCAAAGATAAGTCAACCTACTGAAGAGCCCAACTTTCCTGTCGAGATAATTTCAATGTACCACCAGTGATAGAAATAGCAATGGATTTTCTCGAGCATCTACCTGAAGAGAACCACACATGTGACAAGATAATAAAAACAACAACAACAAACATATTTGGTGAATGAACAGTTTTCATAACTGCTGAGAATTTAATACTTTAGTAAATTGTAAACTTACATTGATAATTAATGACATAAGCATTGGTTAATAGAGGATTTGGTGTTACATTTAGCTACAGTTTAATAAGATTTAATCTGCAGTTTGACTTAATGAGTGTAACGTGGTTTTAGCTGTAATTTAAGCTTATTCTGTTATTGTTAAGTTATAAACCAGGATAAATAAATTGTATTATTACATAAATATGAGTTAAAACCAGATACTTGTAACGTCTCATTTTAAATTTAATGAGGGATCGTGTGTGATACTCCTAATGCATGGTGGCGCCAGTATCGATGCGGTCCCAGCACGGATACAGTATGCTTCCCAATTTAGCACTTGGTCAGTCAACAAGCATGTTTGAGCGGTACGTGAATTTCACGTGTTTTCCTGCTATTTATTTTACACAGTTGCACTAAAATGAGTGAAAAATATGAAAACTGGAATCTTAGCAAGATTAAGACGGAACTTAAACGCATGAGAATTAAAACTATTGTCAGAAAAGACGATTTGGTCGATAGGGAAACAAAATAAATATGAGTGATAATATCGTTTTGTTACATAAAAGTAAGTATGATTTCAATATGTTAGTAAGAGCCTTGTTCTTACATGCTAAATAAAACGATATAATTGTGGTTATTGCATGAAAATAATGATAATAATTAACTCGTTCGCAATTAAATATGTATATTTGGCACTGTCACCGACATTTTATAGACCTATGGATATAGTTTAGGCCTAACGTTATAGGCAATGGCTAACGTTAAGCATAAAACTAAAAGGACCCCTACAGACGTTAACAATTTTGTCCTACAATATATATTTTTTGAAACGATTATGATTAGTTCTATATAAACAATTTGTATTCTTTTTTGACAAACTGGAAGCATATGACAGGAACAGATTGAGGAAACTTGAACAGATGCTGTTACCCCAAATGGAAATACACAAAGACTTGAATACTGGAGAAATGGTAGGCGTTTATCCTATATGTATTTTGTTTATATAAAATTTTATACT